TGTATAACCCAGATTGTAAAAGAACTAAAATTTAACTCCGATAAAATATATTTTAGATCTTTATATTGTTGAATTTTCAATGTAACTAATTGGTATATCATAATTATTAAATAATTTATATTTCCAAAAAAAATTTAAAATCTATTTTTTTAAAAAAATTTCACTTTTATCTGATCATACCCTTCAGTAAAATAAATATGGCATTTAACTTATTCAAGACACCTTTATTAATTATTTGAATGAATTATAATAAAGAAATTAGGATATAAATGAAATATATATATATATATATATAATACACTCAATATCCTATATTTTAAATTAAGTAAGGCTTTTATAAAATATTTTATATTGTGGTCCAAAATGAGCAGAACTTAACCTTATCATACTATTCTCTTTATCCCTATATATAATATATTTTTAATTGAATTTTGCACATAAAAAATATTATTACTTAGTTAAAATCACATTAAATCACAATAATTTTTAAATTTTGCCTTGATAATGTCATAATCAATGTTATTATGATGGAAAATAAAGCACACAATTAAATGATTAATATCTCTTTTATTGACAAGAGCAAAATTATTTAATTGTTCATGATATCCTTATATTTAAAAATAAAATAAATTTTTAAAAAATATCCTCTATATATATAGAGAGACTCAGCGAGTTTGCAGCAATTCTATTGATAAAAGTCAACTGAGAATTCAGTGATAATGTTTGTGTCTTTTTCATTCATTGTTTTGTGAATTTTTCTCTTCCTCATCATGTCGTCCAGGTTGGTTTGCATTTTCATGGCTCTGAACTTCTTTCTTTGGTCAATGGGCTCGTAATTAATATATAAAAGCTTTATCTGCTTCAATCATGATTTCCACAACACGTCATAATGTAAATATATAATCATTTTATTTATAATAAAAATAATTTAATTGTAATAATTTCATACTATTTTTTATGTATTTCATTTAAAAATTTTAATTGGACAAGTTTATAACATATAAAATTTTTAATTTCATCCCTATAGTTAAACCTTTGTATATTTATTGATGTTTTATATGACTAATTTTTATACTGATTTAGTATATATTTCAATATTTCGGATGTAATAAAAAATTATTATAAATTTTAAAAATTTGATTCGAACTATAGGACGAAAATTATTGAGTAAATTATAATAGAATATCAAATTATCTACTTTATCTTTAAAAAAAAATATGAACTTTAATTCAATCAAGAAAATTATTAATATGTCCTCAATAACTAATTAATTTAAATTTCATTAAATGATGATACTTTATTATAAATTAGAATAAAATGTAGAGTCTTTACATACAAATTCCACACACAAAAAATTAATTACTACAAGGTCCATTAACAAGCAAAAAAGAATTTGGTTTCCCAAATTTCAAAATTAATTTTTGATCAAAAAAATAGAAATATTTTTTGAAAAAATAACAAAAACAGTAAACTGCACTCAAGGATACCAACAGGACAGAAAAAAAAACGTCATGTATGAGTTTGATTTTTTCCTCAAATTACGATTTAATTAATTGGAAAAAGAAGTTAAAGACGTCAAAGGAAGAAATACCCTATGATAATAATAATAACAACAATAATAGTAGTAGTAGTAGTAAGAAGGCAGGGGGGGAGGAGGATAAGCAGATCCAATAATTGGTGACAACTTGTGTTCAATGTTTTGTTCTTCAGTTCTTTTTGTCACAAGATAGGGATGTGACTTTCTTTGGTTTAGATATTGACATGTATTATAGTCCCCACGTACCGCAAGTTGACGATGTCCTGCAGACTGATCTATTTTGTTTTTTTTTTTTTTTTAAGGGTCTGGTTCTACTGGACCTTGTGAACAAGTTTGGATGAATCAAAATCATTTTAATTGCTTTGGCAATGTATATATATATATATATATAATTTTCACCGCATGCTGTGGTTGAATATAAATTAATTATATTTCACAAGAAGTAATATTGTCTTGAGTACCAAGACAAGGAAAAGAAATTAAGAAAAAGTACAAATGAAATCAAGATACATGAACTAGAATTCCCTATTTAACCTTTTTTTTTTCCCTTCAAACTCATTCAACATGATTACAATTAGAATCATGTTCTCACAAATACTATAAATAGGATCGGGTGCTTGGTTTCGAGACACTAGATTATTACTTTCAATTATGTATATTGAGAAGTGAATAAATGTACGGATTGACTAGCTCATCATGCATATAACAATATAGACAATATGTATTTTGTAGAACCAACAATAGGGTGCAGAAGCATTATTTATTTTGTAGACCCAATCCTATTTGTAGGCTATTAGAAATTTAATATGCTATGAGATGGAATTTTCACAAATACAAGACTTGCAAGCCCACATCCTCAGAACCAGTAAAAAAAAAAAAAGGAAGGAAAGGAGAGCTTAATTCTCATTAGGCCCATTGAAAGTTCTCTCCCATGATAAAAAGAATACAAAGCTGCTTTGTCATTAATCGAACACAAGAAAAATACATTTTCCTTCTTAATAATAACTTCACCACATACAAAATGCAGCATTAATAGACGATATTAATTAACATTATGAAAAGGAATTCTGTAGTAGTGGAGGTTGTTATTATAACACTGCTTTGAAAGAACTTATGGAATCAAAAATGTAGAAATTAAAGTAAAGTATTATTGGGGGACAGAATATAAAAAGATGGTGATAAATTCAATATAAGGGAATTTTAATATAATGCAAACAAAATTTTATATTATCTGAACTGTTTAACAATAGCTTCATCACTACTTTAGCATTATTTTAAATTACAACTATTTTAAAGTATGATTTGAGAAGACAAAAAGGAAGGGGGGCATATGGGACAGTTTTTTTCTAAATTATTTCACCCTCAATTATTTTAATATCAACTTGAAAAAATCGACATGGTAATCCAAAAATAGAAGACCAACTTGATAATTTGCTTGAGATGATGACAAGCAGAAAATAATATACTAGAGTAACGTTAAATAAGCAAAAATAAGGCAAACAAGAATCAATTTAGGAGGAGAAAACAAAGGGGTCAAACTTGAATTAAAAAAAGGTTTAATTATCGGATACTTTTAGTAACGTGATTGACCTTAGCATCATGCAACTTGGTGTCTATGTCATAACAACCAAAATTATAAAACAATGGTAGGGACATTACCAACTTGTTAATGGTCATTGTTAAACAATTATACGATAAACAAAAAAGAAAAAGAAAATTGATTCAGTTGGTAAAAATTTGACTTATTATTCTACTATACCATGAAAACAAGTCTCACTGCTAATGTAAAAACTAGTAGAAACTTTGTTGATGAACAATATGTAAACAGACACTATTTGAAATCAACAATATGTCTTAATCATAGTGAATTTTCAAAACCCAACTCATTTAAACTTTTGAATATAAAAAAAAAAGTAAAAATAAAACTATTTAGGTAGATGATAACTTCAGGAATTGAATTTTTATGCAAAGAGAAGTGCTAGCAAGTTTTTTTTTTTTTTTTAAAAAAAAAATCAATTGTTATCATCTAAAGAGATTTATTGTGTTATCTTAATTTAATTTCTGGTAAAACTTATAAAGTACCCCTGATTGTAAGTAAAACAATAATAGTAATGGTTTGACCAAAAATGATTAGGTTAGATCACGATCGACTCATTTACAATGGCTGGGATGCATGAATGAAGAAAAGAGATGTTTTCTTTGGTACCAAAGAAACATGAACAACCGAAAAGGAAAAATTAAACAATGCATATGACATCAGCATCTTGTGACTGAGCCTGAATTTTAGGTTAGGCTTCTCCCAAGATCTGAGTCCTGTCCCATCCAGATGCATGGAGTGACTAACTTTGTGTCTTTGGAGGGGACGTGACTGTTTGATCCCAAGACAACCTAAATCCAAAGTTTTACAGCCTTCAACTGTCAGAATGACAAACATTGCTGAAATGTAATATTAAAAAAAAAAAATAATTATTAATCCCTACAGTTTTAATATATTTCAATATAAATCCTTCTAGTTTTCTTCCATTGCTTCACGCCCCTCTAGTTTAGCCTACTTGCAAAATTAACCCCTCTACTTTTGAATGTCCGTAAAGACAATGAGATAGCACTTATAATGTTAAACACGTTGGACCGTAACTACCACTATTAATCTATGCTAAAGTGGAATTATAATTCAACAAATTATCATTAACCAGCCTGTTCTGTTTCGTGTTTCATGTTTTAATATGTTAAATCATAATTTCACCTCACCACAAATATTAACGACCTTACTCACAGATTAGCATATTTAATGTGTCATCTCATTATTTTTTTAGACATGCTCAAAAATTAAAAAGCTAATGTTGGAAACAAGATAAACTAGAGGGACCGCAGGACCTATACCAAAACAAGTTAAAACCATAGAAACCAGTAGTTGTTTTGTCTCTATATTAAATATCTTTGTCAAGAACCTGCAAATTTGCTGACACTGGAAACCCATTTTGCAAGAATTTATAATACTGCTTTTCCAGCGACAGCCTTATTTTAGTTTTGGAACTTGAACTCTCTTCTATTTACAGAAAAACTATAAAGTTTTTCAGCTTCCACCAGACAGACATGAAACATGTGATCCCGTTGTTCTGAAGAGATGGGAGACATGGAACAAAAATGTCTTTACCCTGATTGAAGTGGGAGGAAAATCTTAAGTTTGAAATCCTACTTTAACCAAGATGAATTTTTATAAGGACTATAATTTGAGGGACAAAGTTGCAATTTACGTTAGTTTTTGAAACAAAGTAAACATTATCAGACCTCTAACCTCAAATTAAATAACTAATAACACGGTGACAAGTTGCTTTCCGAAAACTGAGTTTTAACCCACAGCCAATTGATGATATTTTCATATATGCCAGCGTTTCAATTATGACCACCTTCAAAATGGAAGGAAAGATGACATTGGAATAATATGGGAGCCTAAAATAATTACTTCGGGGTGTAAGAATATGTTAAAAATTCCATGCACATCCTGCTAAATAGTTCCTGCTGTTAACTAAAAATGCTGAAATTCTAACTTTGGACTTGAATAATAAATACTAATGACACAAACCACAGCCAGCTGTGCCCTTGTTCTTTTGAAAGTCAATTATGATTATTTACAATTAAGAACAAAAGCGGATGCAAAACTCGCCGATACACACACACACACACATATATATATATCTGGTCAGCTGTCGAACCTGCGATTTCATACAAATGTGGAAGCATAATGGAAGAGAAGAAATGCAGATTTTAACTGAGGACTGAGGTTGAGGAAATAAGAAAAAACCTGGTGTTTTTTGTTCCCATGATCCTCAAAATTTTCTATCCTTTCCACTCAACATCTTGATCCAAATTTACGTGATGCTTCATGTTTCTTGGCCCCATTGGAAAATATCCACGAGTTTCCCAGAGTCATGCAAAGCAACATTTCAAATTCTCTTCACTGTCATACTCCATATAGCGGTAGAAAGGTTTTGATGAAAGAATAGGCAAGTGCTCCTGTGAATACATAACTGTCCACCCTGTCTAGTATTCCACCTGCATGAAAGTTTCGCATGATGTCATTGTGAAGTTCAGGATTTCATATATATAAAAATATAAAATCTATAAAAAGCCATGCTATTCATAAGTCCTGAGGTTACTAGCAGGATCAAATCCATGACCTCTTACTTACAAGGGAACTTGCATGCCACTAGATTACAAGACATAGGTAGGTTCCGTACAATTTTTCTTATTATTATTTTGATATTTCTCCACATATTTGCATTGATCTCCCCACAAACTTTTTAAATTCAATTTTTTTCTACACATTTCACTAGGGTTTAAATGTGAGACAAATAAGTTCAATCTTCTAAAAAAAAAATTTAAATTATCATTTATCCCATATATTGCATGGGGAAAGACATCTAGTTGACAATTTATTTAACCTCCAAACAACTATGGGCAGAAGGAATTACGAGGTTTGATTTGAATGGGCAGCCATGAAGAAACTTCCACCCACATGATCTAGGATTACATGCTAAAAGATGACAAGAATTGCAAGTCTATTTTATATTTATTGCAAATTTTAAAAGTCTGTTCCGATAGTAAAATTAGATGAAAGTTCTAATAATATTTCATCCCTTTTCACTTTGATTTATACGAGACAACAACTCTTCTTTCAGATAAAACAAATAGGGAAACGAATGCTCAAGATCAGTAAATTAGCAAATAAACAATTCCTCGATATTTGAATTGGGCTTCATGGGACACAATCACAAAACAAGACTGGGCAAAATTCGTTCATATACGAATGGAACAATTTCCAGATTCATATGAAACCAATTAGGACTCAACGACCGCACTCATCACATCCAAAATTTCTTTACCATAAATCACTAGTAAATTTGATTTTACTTTGAAGAATTTGGAAATTAAGCAGTTAAGCTCTATTATAGTATTTATATTAGAAATTAGTTAGTCATTATTTTCCGCATGACACAGCATTCCATCTTCTCAATTGGCGCTAAGAAGAAAAGTTGTTCAAAATCCATAAAGTTTCATATAAGTCTATTAGATTCTGTTTTAAAGATAGATGGTTCCAAGAGGAAGTTGGAGAAGAGCCTAAGGCACCATAAGCCCATATCAAGATTAGACCTATTTTTCCTTATTTAAAGAAGATCTGATATCTATTATTAATATTTGCTTTTTATCTAATTTGATTTTCCAAGATTATAAGATTGCCAATAGTAGGGAAAGAAAATCAAGAGATCTAGAACAGGTAAGGTGTATTAAGGATGAAGAGGGAAGAATTTTAGTTACAGATGATGAAATTAAAAATAGATGGGAGACTTATTTTTCTAAACTTTTCAATGATGGAGAGGATTCATCTAGTAACTTGGAGGATTTAGTAACTGGTGAAGGAGAACAAAATTTGTCATTCTATCGAATAATACGTGATAAGGAGGTAAAGGAAGCTCTTAAGAAAATGGCAAATGGTAGAGCCAACGTACCTGATTGTATATCTATCGAAGCGTGGAAATGTTTAGGTGAAGAAGGGGTGAGATGGTTAACTAAGTTATTTAATGTAATTTTACGGTCCAAGAAAATGCCTGATGAGTGGAGGAGAAGTACATTAATTCCTATTTATAAAAATAAAGGAGATATTCAGAATTGTACTAACTATAGAGGGATTAAACTCATGAGCCACACAATGAAATTGTGGGAGAAAGTAATTGAGCACAGGTTGAGATTGGAGACAAGTATTTCTGAGAATCAATTTGGTTTTATGCCAGGTAGATCAACTACAAAGGCGATTTATCTACTAAGGGGATTAATGGAAAAGTATCGTTGTAAAGATAAAGATCTACACATGGTTTTTATTGATTTGGAAAAAGCTTATGACCATATACCAAGAGAAGTGCTTTGGAAAGCGTTGGAAAAAAAGGGAGTATGGATTGCTTATATTAAAGCCATACAAGATATGTATGAGGGGGTAAAAACTAGTATAAGAACGCCTAGTGGTCAAACAAAGGATTTTCCTATAAAGATTGGACTACATCAGGGATCATCTCTGAGTCCTTATTTGTTCAACTTGATTTTAAATGTTTTGACGGAACATATTCAAGAGGAAATCCCGAAATGTATGCTCTTCGCGGATGATATAGTTCTTATAGCAGAAACAAGAGAAGAGGTTATTTGCAAACTTGAGTTATGGAGGAGGACATTGGAGTCAAAAGGTTTTCGTCTGAGTAGAAGTAAGACGGAATATTTATATTGTAAATTTGGTAAATGACTATTCGAAAATAATTTGGAAGTGAAATTGGGAGATCAAATTATACCTCAAGCGGAAAAGTTTAGATATTTGGGAGCCATTATTCAAAATGATAGCGAAATCAGTGGAGATATTTCACATAGAATTCAAGCTGGGTGGTTTAATTGGAGAAAAGCTAAAGGAGTTATTTGTGACCGTAAGGTGCCTAATAAACTTAAAGGAAAGTTTTATCGCACTGCTATCAGACCGGCAATGTTATATAGTAGTGAATGCTGGGCTCTAACGGGACAGCAAGAGCATAAAGTTGGAGTAGCAGAGATAAGAATGTTACGATGGATGTGCGGACATACACGTAAAGATAAAATTCGAAATGAGCACATACGCGAAAAAGTGAGGGTGGCACCTATTGAGGAAAAAATGGTAGAAAATCGGTTGAGATGGTTTGGGCATATACAAAGAAGACCAAGGGAGACACCAGTGAGAAGAGTGGAACATATAACTTTGAGTCCAATTAAGAGAGGTAGAGGAAGGCCTAAGAGAACACTCTTGGAAGTTGTTGAACGTGATCTCTTAATTAATAATATTTCTAAAAGCTTGATAAATGATAAGCACAATGGCGTCTGGCAATCCATATAGCCGACCCCACCTAGTGAGATAAAGGCTTGTTGTTGTTGTTGTTTTTGATTTTCCAAGATTATAGGAAGATATTAGTGATTTGTGTAGATTCTCTTACTCTCATCTCTTCTATATATGTAAACGCTTCTTATGTATAAAATATGAGTGTTGTTCTACCCTAATTATAACATGATATCAGAGCCTTGGTCTGTGATCAATGGCATATAGGACAGCTCTAACAAACCAACTGCTAGTCTTCACCACAAGTGAAGGCACAATATCATCAACCAACGAAGACTCACAAGGTACTGGTTTGAACATGCACAATATGAACTCTCCCTTTGGGATGTTGAGTTCAAGGAACGATTCATTCTCGCAAGCTATAATCATTCATCATCTCAATGACAACAACTACCTCTAATGGTAGCGACATATTTTGATGTTTGTTCGAGGAAAGAATCGCGAGAAATACCTCATAGAGAATCCTCCAAAAATTACAGATGCAAAGTTCGAGTCTTGGTGGGCAGAAAACAATATGATTATGGCCTGGCTTGTGAATTCTATGACTATCGAGATTGGCAAAAATTACCTATTGGCAACTACAACCAAAGAAATATGGGAATCTACAAAGCACACCTACTCAAGCAAGAACACGACTGCCATTTTTCAAGTGAAGCAATTGCTTCAAAATCTCTTGCAAGGAGAGCAATCTGTCACTTAATATTACAGTGCTCTCATTAGGCTATGGCAACAAATTGATATTTACAAGGTCCATGAATGGTCTTGTCAAAAAGATGGGGAGTACTACAGAAAGATAGTCAATCAACAAAGGTGCTGAGTTTCTACTAGGAGTCAATGACTCTTTTGAGGATGTTCGAGGACATATAATGGGCATGAGGCCTCTTCCATCACTAGAAGATGCCTTTAACATGCTTAAATGTGAAGAAAGTCGAAAGATTTTAACTCAAGGACATTCTACACCTTCTTCTACTTCACTCAGCTTCTGCACTTGCTGTCAAAGGAAATCAGGGAGATATGAAGGGTAAGAAGTATGGAAGGTGTGATCACTACAATAAAAATAGACACACTCGAGAAACCTGCTGGAAGCTACATGGCAAGCCTCATAATTTCAAACAGAAATGCAAGGGACCGTCAGTAACCACAACAGAAGCTAAAACTGGGGGATTAAGCACTGAAGAGCTGCTGGTCTTAAGGAAAGTTCTGGAGAAACATTCTGTATCCGCAAAAATATGTGAGAACAATACTCCTTCTGTGACTATGGCACAAGCAGGTACAGCTTTAACTCAAACTCTTAATAGTATGAAAAAATCCAACAATATTTGGATCATCGATTCTAGGGCATCTGATCATGTAATAGGTTTTAGGAATCTGTTTTCTGAATTTAGTGAATTCTCTAAGCATGAAACTGTTGAAGTTGCAAACGGACAGTATGTTGAAGCATTGGGATCTGGCACTGTGATAATCTCTGAAAATATTATGTTGAAGGATGTGTTATATGTACTTGAGATTAAGTGCAGCTTACTATCTGAAAAATGTGTTGCATCTCATGTTACTTTTGACAAAAGTGGCTGTGATTTTCAAGAATTGGCCTTAGGGAGGATGATTGGCAATGCCAAGAAGAGGAATGGGCTCTACTATATCCATGGATTTCCATCAAATAGAAGTTATGGTGTGTTTTTTGTTATGTCTCACGAAGACTTGATATTATGGCACTCTAGGTTAGGCCACCCTAGTCCACATTATTTGCAACTTTTATTTCCAAATATCAATAAAAAGTCAATTTTTGAATTTCATTGTGAGACTTGCCACTTTGCTAAACAAGTTCAAAATTCTTATCCATCCCACAAATATACACCAAGTCACCCTTTTGCTCTCATCCATAATAATGTTTGGGGTCCATCCAAATTTGAAACAAATTCTAAAACAAGATGATTTGTAACATTTATTGATGATCATTCTCGCTTGACTTGGGCATTTCTAATGAAAGAAAAATTCGAAGTTTTCAATATCTTCAAAAACTTCTATTCCTTTGTTCAAAATCAGTTTCAGACTTCATAAAAATTCTTTGAAGTGACAATGGGAGGGAATATGTGAATCTGAATTTTCAAAATTATTTGAAAGAAAAAGGCATAGCACAATGGCGTCTTGC